TTTTGTCCCTTCAACATGATTTTTACAAAATTAATTAATATCTATACAAAAATAATATCCCTTAAGTGTTTAAAAACTGACTAAATGGTTATATTTTACAATTAAATTAAGAAATTGCATCTAGATAGTAGAATTAAAAAGAAAATAATTATTGGTATTTGATTAACATAAATGATAATCTTTATAAAATTTATCTTCTCTATAACAACCTCCTATGATAAATTGGACGATTAATTATTTAAATATATAAAAAAGTGTTCATATTAGCCACACTTCAATGCATGGGTATTTTCTCTTAAATTTCCAAAATAACTATTTTACTAATAAAAATTTTTCAATAACATTTTGAAAATGTAAAGTTTATAAAATTAATTTAATAAAAAATAATTGTATTACTGTTAATTAAATATGAGTTGAGAACAATATTATTTTGTAAATATTAGAATATATTGACTCTCAAGAAATACGAAGATTAGAAAACTTAGAAATGATAAATGCTGAAAGATTTACTTGTAGAATCTATTTTATAAATCTTATACAATTCAGATTCTAAATTTAAATTGAGACAAAATGCTTGGTTATGATAAGAATAATACAAACAAAGATTTAAGATATTATTGCATTCATGCAACTAAAAGTTTCCATTTTCAAGATTGTTAAAAAAGAAAAAAACTATAAAATAGAACTCTATCAACAAATATTGGACACAAGAAGTATATTAAAATAGATTTAAATTAAGGGTTAATATAGGTTAGTTTTTAAATTAATCAAGTGTTACTCCAATATTTGTCCTAAAAGGAAACGGTTTTTTATAAAAAACTCCCTTAAACCTTGAAAAATTGAAGTCGGGTAAACCATAATATTAGATGTATCTAAATTTTAAATAATATTCTTTTACTGCAAAGGGGTGTTAAAAAAAGGATATCTTGCATTTTTAATCTAAATTTCTTTAAATCTATAATCTGAAAAATACTTGTTTTTGATATAATAGTAGGATAGACTTATCATCACTACCAGAAGCTAATGAATTTCCATCAGGAGAGAAACAGACTGATTAGACCAATTCACTATGACCATCTAATTTGGCTTTTTATTATCCTGTTTTGACATCCCATAGACGGATAGAGTTATCATAACTACCAGAAGCTAATGTATTTCCATCAGGAGAGAAACAGACTGAGTAGACAGTACTAGTATGACCATCTAATTTGGCTTTTTATTATCCTGTTTTGACATCCCATAGACGGATAGACTTATCATCACTACCAGAAGCTAATGTATTTCCATCAGGAGAGAAACAGACTGAGTAGACATTATGAGTATGACCATCTAATTTGGCTTTTTATTATCCTGTTTTGACATCCCATAGACGGATAGACTTATCATCACTACCAGAAGCTAATGTATTTCCATCAGGAGAGAAACAGACTGAGTAGACAGTACTAGTATGACCATCTAATTTGGCTTTTTATTATCCTGTTTTGACATCCCATAGACGGATAGACTTATCATCACTACCAGAAGCTAATGTATTTCCATCAGGAGAGAAACAGACTGAGTAGACAGTACTAGTATGACCATCTAATTTGGCTTTTTATTATCCTGTTTTGACATCCCATAGACGGATAGACTTATCATCACTACCAGAAGCTAATGTATTTCCATCAGGAGAGAAACAGACTGAGTAGACAGTACTAGTATGACCATCTAATTTGGCTTTTTATTATCCTGTTTTGACATCCCATAGACGGATAGACTTATCATCACTACCAGAAGCTAATGTATTTCCATCAGGAGAGAAACAGACTGAGTAGACAGTACTAGTATGACCATCTAATTTGGCTTTTTATTATCCTGTTTTGACATTCCATAGACGGATAGAGTCATCTCTACTACCAGAAGCTAATGTATTTCCATCAGGAGAGAAACAGACTGAGTAGACATAATGAGTATGACCATCTAATTTGGCTTTTTATTATCCTGTTTTGACATCCCATAGACGGATAGAGTTATCTCTACTACCAGAAGCTAATGTATTTCCATCAGGAGAGAAACAGACTGAGTAGACATAATGAGTATGACCATCTAATTTGGCTTTTTATTATCCTGTTTTGACATCCCATAGACGGATAGAGTTATCTCTACTACCAGAAGCTAATGTATTTCCATCAGGAGAGAAACAGACTGAGTAGACATAATGAGTATGACCATCTAATTTGGCTTTTTATTATCCTGTTTTGACATCCCATAGACGGATAGAGTTATCTCTACTACCAGAAGCTAATGTATTTCCATCAGGAGAGAAACAGACTGAGTAGACATAATGAGTATGACCATCTAATTTGGCTTTTTATTATCCTGTTTTGACATCCCATAGACGGATAGAGTTATCTCTACTACCAGAAGCTAATGTATTTCCATCAGGAGAGAAACAGACTGAGTAGACATAATGAGTATGACCATCTAATTTGGCTTTTTATTATCCTGTTTTGACATCCCATAGACGGATAGAGTTATCTCTACTACCAGAAGCTAATGTATTTCCATCAGGAGAGAAACAGACTGAGTAGACATAATGAGTATGACCATCTAATTTGGCTTTTTATTATCCTGTTTTGACATCCCATAGACGGATAGAGTTATCTCTACTACCAGAAGCTAATGTATTTCCATCAGGAGAGAAACAGACTGAGTAGACATAATGAGTATGACCATCTAATTTGGCTTTTTATTATCCTGTTTTGACATCCCATAGTCGGATAGATTTATCATCACTACCAGAAGCTAATGTATTTCCATCAGGAGAGAAACAGACTGAGTAGACATAATGGGTATGACAATCTTACAAACAAGCAATTTAGCCTCATTTAAATTAATTCCATTAATCTATAAATTTTTTTTATTCAACTTTAGATTTCGATAATTGTATTTTTCAAAATTATCTTCAAATACAAAAGTGTTTTTAATTCTGATTTTTTCAAAAAATTTATTTTTAAGATCAACCTTTATTTCAACCATTATGTTTAAAGCATTAGATCCACTTATTATAAAAATGATTATCTATCATAAAGAGATAAACTAAAAATTTCAAAAATTTTTAAATCCTTACCTCTTATGATAATTTTTTAAAAGAGGTATTATCTCATTTCCGTATGGATTTTAGTGGAATAATTAACAGAATTAATATCGTGTTATTTTATGGTCTAGATCAAATGAGTGAATTAATACTTATTTAAAAATTATTTAATTTTTTTTTTCAAAAGATGATATATTCTCAACTTAATTATAATAATTCTCTGAATATTTTTAATGTACATTTGATAGAAACTTTAATTATTTTCTTTTGAAAACATTTCTATCATAGTGTTGAAATCTGAATATTACAATCTTTCAATTTAAGTTATAATTGATATAAATCAGCTGCAACAAAGAACGTTTATGCTTGTTATGAGACAAGTGAAAAACTTCTAAGCCCCAGATTAAACATCATCATGAAAAAATTAATTTTGCTATTGTTCTACTTTTTTTCATTTTATTTGAAAAATCCTAGCTACTTATATTATACTTACGTCATTACATTTTTACTCATTGTTCTTGCCAATCTAATTGTGTACTCTAATAAATCATGCAGAAAAAGATCAATATCCCTAAGTTTCTAAGTTTTCGAGTTCTTTCAAATTTAATTATTGATACCTCGCAATAAAAGTCATAATTTTTTAGATTGTATACTTTTAATGCATCAAAAACAACTAATTCTTTCCTTTTAAATTTTTAATTTGTTTTAATTTGGTAGAATGGTATTAGTTTTAAATATTATTTAAAATTTTTTGTATACTCCATCTAATTCTTAAGTGATTAACAATTATATAGGAATCAAATTATTCCAAACTTAAAGAGCAATTTAATAGTAATCAATTATTTCAGAGTCTTATACATCGTCTGGGAATAGTTCTTTAAATTATTCAAGTTTTTTTCACCATTTTGTTATTTTTTTTATTATAAATTTCTTCTTTTTTAATTTAATTTATTAGCCCCATTAGATGTATTTGCTATTGCGATTTATACATCTGAATTATGTATTTGATGATGAAGAACTCTTTAACATTTTTTGTAAAATTCATCCTCAGTTGCTTTAACTATCATTTAGGGCAACACTTAAACGATTATTTCCTTCATATAAGGAATTCTCACCAAATTATTTAGATTAACCTACTTCATCATCCTTTCATAATTTTCAAAGCTCCATAATTGTTGTGAATTTATTTTCGAGCTTTTTGTAACTTCATTGTTTTTTAATGTAATGAAATCATCTTCCTTCAAAAATTTTAGTGCCCTCTATTTATTTTCAATTTAAAATAGTCCCAGATTTCAACTTTGACTTATCAAATTTAACAAGCGATGACTTCAATTGTTCCCAACTCAGTTCTAAATTTTTGATATCCATCGGTTTTGGTTTTATGGATAAACTTACCATTCTGTTATATCAAAAATCAACATTGTAATACTTTAAATACTTAATTTCTTAAAATATTCTTATTTTTAAACTTAGTCAAAATTGAGAAGTTAGATTTCTTTAAATTAGTTTTTATCTTCTGGTGCTAACCATTAGGCATAATTATTACTAGTAAAAATGTCGTTTCTCTTAATATGAGTTTAATTAATATAAAATTTTTCTAAAAATTGGGATTCTTTTTTTTACAAAATATCTTTTTATTCTATAAATTAGAGATCTTCAAACCCATAATCATCTTCATGATTGATTCCTCTATCATGTAATTTCCAAATAAACTTTTCAATTTTCTTGGCTCTTTTACTTTTGCATGCCTCAGCTAGCCCTTGAATTAATAATACTTTTTGCTTGTTATTGAATAATAATTCATTCTCTTCTCTGATTTTATCATGAAATTAATATAAATTCATCAAACTACTGATTTCATTTTTATCTTTCTCTTGAGTGTTTTATAGCACGTAGATGGACTTAACATTTTATTTTGTTGCTTCCTTCAAAACATTCCTTTTTCTGATTTCAAGTAGATATTTTACAGATTCTCCTCTCAAAATTTAACTTCATTCCCCATACTATTGAGTTACTTCTTCATTTTAATTATTTTTCCCTTTACTCTTAAGACATTCTTTCTGATGTGATTAACGACATTAGGTAGCAATCTTAGTTATATCTACATAATTTAATCTATTTCTACCAATAATCATTCTCTTTTTTTTGAAATTTGCCTAAATAGATATTGATACTTACAAATCAATACTCTTCAGCATAATCAACACATTTCCACTGCAATTCTATCATGTTGAGTGTACCAATCTTTCTACATAATTTACTTCTACAGACTTATTCAATTTTATTTTTTTTATACGTATAACTCTTTAATCTTTTTCTTAAACCTATATTTAAATTAGATTTTTTTAACAAAATCGAGTAGCTGTTATTGCGAAGTCATTATTGCCTATTAAATTTCCATTCATAATTATTTTATTAATCTATAGATAATTAACCCTTTTGATTTGATATATTCATATTCTTCATAGTTATCTCGGAAGTATTTTTTTTTGTTAATTGAATTAGATATTCAATTCTTGAAAGGTATTAATTAAGTGATTAAGTTATAATTTTTATTTTAAACTCTTTAGAAACATACCCAATTGTGTTTATGAATCGGAAATATGTAAATATGAATTGCAAATAAATGTATTTTCTTCACGAGTAATACTAGATGATGATGTTATTTACTTCAAATATAGTTGTAGAGTGTTTGAATAATATTATTTATGGCAACTTAAATCAAATTTATCAATATTTCAACCTTAGATATTTTAAATTTGATTTTATACTAATTATTATTCAAATTCATATATATACTACCACTATCAAACTATGAG